TAAAGCATATACATAAAAATATTAGCTATGGAAGAACAAAATTAAATAGCATCTTATTCCACATTAGAAAGAAAAAAAAAAGACCAAGGGTGTAAGAAACTAGATTAATTAAAGGACTGAAAGAAAAGATCTGTTCTCTTTGAATTTTATACTTAGCAAACACACATTTGAAAACTAAAAGTAAGATTTTCTAGTTGTATAAACTTGAAATATTTTAATACCCCCAGAAGTAGCATATAGGAAATAACAAAGAGCATAATTCAAAAGGCAAGAGAAGTTGCATTATACTCCTGGATAAACAATAAAGAGCTCTCAATATGATAGTTATGCAGGACTATATAAAAGATATATTAGATGAACCCTTATTTAAAGGTCATTGCAGATTTCTATGAAACAGTACCAATCTTATGTTGGGTTATACACGTATTTTTTTTCCATATATGTGTGCGTTATGTGTGTATAAAAGACAGGGAAGAAATAATATAAAGTCAACAGAAAGTGGAAATATACTTCTTAAAGTTTCTAATACTAGAAGATATCATACAATGTCTTTTAAATAAATTGTAAGTCAAGATATAGTATAAATCTTAGAACAAAAATTAAGATTAAGCAACATTCAGAAAATTAAATACTAATTAAAAATTAAATGTTTCAAAACAATTTAACTAAGAAAAAGTGTTCATGATAGCAAAGAAGTACTAAGAGTAAAACATAAGATAAATACTGGAATGGCAAGTTAATGACCAGCACTTCTAACCATTTGAGGATAGGATATCCCACAAAGTTCTAGTGTGTAGTGGACATGCATAATGACTGTAATGGTTACTGGTGGCTAGACATCACTTGTGGAACTCAGCTACTGCTATTTCTTTGAAATCTACCCTGTAGACTCAGGTGGATTCATGACCCCTAGGGTGGAAGAGAAGTTCATTTGTAGAGTGTGCTGATGGAAATATTTTGCTGCTGAACACAAAAGAATAACTGAAAGACTACTATTGTAAACCTCTTATTCTCCTCTGTTTAATTGTTTGTCCTCTTTGGCGGGTTCTTTCCCTTCTCATTCATGGGGCTGTGATCAGTTTGCTCCCTCTCTAGAACATCATTTAGTAGTCCGTGTAGGCTTGGCTTTGTCATCATGAAATTCTTTAG